CCCCCCCCCGAGCAGACGAGGGCCCCCTCCTCGGGGCTGCCTGTCGGCGTGGTGGCCGTCCCCGAGACGTTGCACTGAGCCACGTTCTCCTCGGTGCCGGCACACTGCAGCCCCTGCAGCCCCGCGGTGCCCAAGCCTGGCACGGTGTAGACCTTCTCCGGCACGCCACAGCCCAGCTGCCGGCACACCACGCTGGCACCCTGGGCATCCCACAGCCCCACCGGTACGCGGGCCCATGCTCCGGCACTTGTGGTGACCTCCAGCTGCCCGTCGCACCGGCTCTCCCCCTCCACCAGCCGCAGGGGCTCGGCAATGCCTGCAAAATCCCCGGTGATGCCGTGGGGCCACGGCACCAGCACTACAGGGGCCCTGAGGGGGTTGTGGGGCCCCGCTTCAGCCCTCCCCTCACCCCAAAATGGCCTTGTGTCCTCCGCTCCCAATTTTTGGTGCGTCCCAAAAGCCCCTTAAGGCTTTTCCCGGCGGGTGCCATACAGACCTGAGCAGTTGACGGCAGCGGCGTGGCCGGGGGGGCAGGCGGGCTCCCCCAGCACCGCCATGGGGCACTCGCCTGGGTGTCGCTCGGCGTCGGACAGGTCCCAGCTGGTGGCGCAGAGGGACCCCCACGTCCCCCCCGCCTCCACCTCCACCCGCCCGGCGCAGCTCGAGCTGTTCTCCGCCAGCCGGAAACCCGTGTAGCCTGCGGCAGAAATGGCGTTGAGTGACGACGACGGTGCGGGGACCCCCCTGCCACCCCCCGGCGTCCCCAGCGCTTACGGGAGCAGATGATGCTGGCGTGGCTGGTGCAGCCCTGGCTGCGGGGCGGCCGCTGGGTGCAGGTGGCGAGGAGGGACTCGGTGCCGGTGCACTCGAACCCCTGCTCCCAGAGCGGCCCCGTTCCCGCCTCAAACCGGCCAGTGCCGCGGACAGCCAGCACCGTGCCGCAGCCCAGCTCCCGGCAGACCACCTGGGCGGCCTTGATGTCCACGTGATCCTCACAGACGCTGGTCCAGACTTGGCCCCGCCGAACCTGCAGCCGCCCGGCACAGGTGTCACCGCCAACCAGCCGGGCAAAGCCTGCCGGGAGAGGCACGGGGCTCAATGGTGAGGGATGTGCCAGGACCAGCACATCCCTCCGCCACCCAGCTCCTACCTTGGCAGACGACAGCGGTGTCGTAGGTATGAAAGCCGCGGTAGGGCGCCCAGCCGGCGACCTGACATTCCCCAC